AAACCATTGGTGTGCCCTATTTCTAAAATACAAGATGGACACCTTCAATGAACTTTTTTCTATATGAATTTCAATGTAAGCCCTATTTCATATCATCCCCTTGCTGCAAAAACTCTATCCATCCCTCCCCCCTCCCTTTCTCCCTCTCACAACTATTAGATGTCAAATAGCACTCGGAGGTACCACTAACCTATTTTTTGCTTCGGTATGGTACAAAAGTGTGTCAGACCGGTGATGAGGCTTCTGGATTTACCGAAATCAGTCTGGTAGATCTTTGTGCCGGACTGCATTCTTTTAATGTGAGAGAGAGAGACTAATATTGAACGGAAAGACAGAGAGACGCATATTGGGCAAAGAGAGAGTGAGAGAGAGATTGATATTAGGTGGAGAGAGAGAGGGCAAGTAAAAAGAGAGATTTAATGTGTTGGGAGCAAGGGATAGGAAGGGTAGTTTAGTTTTTAAAATATTTACTTTTAAACTGCGGGTTAAAAAATAGTAACTAGATTATGGGTGTGATACTAAAAATATTAAGGATGAAATGTCTATAAAATTCATTTTGAGAGAATATCCATAATTTTCCCTTCAATTTATTCTCTTTTCGAAGATACCTAGCACCATATTCCATTCAATGTGTCCACCGATGCATATGTTCAAATACATTCACCTTCAAAAATTCATTTTATAGATGGATTTCAAACTAAAATTTATAAATAAACAATTTTAACCACCACTATCACGAATTAAAAAAAAAAAAAATTTATTATTATCAAAATCAAGAATGTATTTTAAGCTTTATATTTGGTCTAATTCATTTTAGGCCATCACAAATCATCGATGTGCAACGTTAGAGCACTGGTGTTTAGGGCGGCAGATACCTCCTCAATATAATCGCCCACCGTCCAGTCCTGTCGTTAACACATAATGAATAATAATCGTGAATCTAATATGGAAATGCATCTAGAATTAAAACACTCATTAAGATCCAAAATCCACGGCTAAGAAACTTGGAAGGGACC